GGCCAATCAATTACCCGTTAGTGTCGGTCACAAAACGAAACTGCAGCACAGGATTCGGAACTCTTGATCACCAGAAGCACCATGAGGTGATTTCTTTTGACTTTATTGGGAATTAGTTTCGGATCGGGACTCGAATCGAATCGAATCGAATCGAGAATCGTTGCGCGTCGATAGAGCGCTGATAATGAAATGCAATTCAACGGTGATTGCAGGCGCGATAAATAAGCGCCGACTCCTCGGGCGGCAGATGCGAGATCTGGTCGATCTGGATGATCTGAGGGGCTTCTAACGCTGGTTCCAATGCCCATGCTCTGAACTCGCTCCGAGTGTAATTCAATCGATGTCACTCGGGCTGCGATCATTATCGACCATCGCATCCCGCCCCGCGGATTTTCCCTTTTGCATTGTGGTCTGCTTGTGTCGCCGGCTGCACTTAATCACAGTTTCCATCACAAGCGTTCGATTAAGTACATCGTAACTGTATCTACGTCTGTGATCGGTATAAACGCTCATCATAACAGTCGAACCTTTAAGGCTTGGACTTATCAGATAAAAACACGGCTTAATAACTAAATCCGATTCCCGTTAAAATATCACAATTATATATACCTTAATGATTTTATTTAAAAACTTCTCCGAGTTGTACAAAATTCACAAAGAAAATTTACATCTTTCAGTATATTTCATATGCGACATTAATTACTTTGTTAAACAAAATTACAAACAAAATTCAATATAAAAAATTGTAAGTAAAAAAAAAACATTATTCTCTTTTAAGGCAGTACTTACTCAAGTTATGTTCTGAAAACTCTTTTCATTGAAAAATGATTATATAAAACTTATAGCAAAGAAGTTGCATTAACAACTTTTATTTTAAATAATTTTTACCAGGAGCCTTTTAAAATCATATATTTTTTAGTTGTCCAAGTTATCGAAGAAGGACTGTCTGTACTAGATGTTTGTGTGCACAGAGGCGCCTTTGTCGTTGGATGTTTTTGCGGTTTTAAGGTTTTGGGGCGTCGCCGTTGCCATTGTGGATTGTACTGCGTCCACATTCACCGCTTGATAGATACAATTACAGTTAGCTCCTTGAGGAGCTGGCGTTGCCTGGCAACTTGGTAACTTGGCCAAGAGCCCCTCAGCCTCAACCAAGTTGGTCGTCTGCGTTACGGTTATCGTCACTGCTGTGGCTTCTCGACAAACGCCCCATCGCGCAATCGCCCCCTCAATTACGCCTGAATATGCATTAGCAATGGATTTGCAATTCCTTCGTCAATAACGATCCCGATGCACAGGGAATCTCTCGAATGTTGCAATTTCTTAAATGGGCGGTGCGGGAAAAACTTATTTCCAATCAGATACCTAATCGGCACATTCCAATTGATTTGGCAAATTGAAGTAGCACTTTTTGTTTAAATAGAGCAGTATCTACAATATATTTGTGACTGTAAAGTTAAAGTTTTAATTTGAATGGGATTTATATACTGTTTATACTGAGGCTATATATATATATTGTGAAAAAAAAACTATTATACAGAAATATTTAGTAAATATTATAAGTAAAATACAATCAGTTAAAACAAATTAGTTGCTTAAAATACATTTCCTTAAATATGAAATGAGATGGAAATTAATTAAAATTTTGTAGGATAATGTTCTGCTAAATAATGTGCTTATTTAATAATTTCGGAATCTTTGTACAACCAATGAATTCAGACTTTGAATCATAATTTTAAACAGACTTTTTTATAGCCTGTTAATTTTCTTTTCACCACCCCATGTTCTCCTTTATGTCCTCAATTCTTATTTAAACTCTCTAAAAACTCCATTGGAAATCTAAAAAAAGGATTCGCTTTGTATGCAGGGCACAAAAGCTTCGCTTCAGCTAGTCAATAGAAAGGCTGAGCACAGCGAGTTGGTTGTGTTAATTTTTCATAGGCCCCCATTCAGATCGCTGTTTGCGTTAGTTTTCCATTTGGCTTCAGAGGCTCAGGGGCTAGTATCGCGGTTATCTTCATGTGGATTCGCTTGTTGGCGCATATTTTGTAATTCAAATCGCTTTTCGTATGCCTTGTGGTTTTTTGGTCAGAAGCCAAACAAGAGGAGCGCTCCACTGCTCCTAGCAAGTACCTAAGTTTCTAAATATCTGGCGGTAACCAAAGTGGGGCACACAACCACCCACACTTGCACACATACGAGAGTGCACTGGCAACAAAAAGAAAAAAAAAATAACTCAAACTAGAATATTACTAAATGAAAAATAATATTCAAAGTATTTTAATAAAAAACATTTAATTTTAAAAGGAATGATGCGAACTTATTAGTTTTTAGGTAACTAAAAGTAAATATAAAAGCTGTTAAATATTTTGACTTGTGAATACTATATGTTTATGTTTTAAAATTTAAAATACACTTATTGTCTTTATGAGAATGGTTTAGAAATGCTTTCAAATTATAATAAAAAGTATGAATTGTAGCAATTTAAGACCAGGAGAGACGATAGTTTATCTTTTCTGTACTAACATTTATTGAAAGATAATCTGTTTTTCTAAAAAAATATAGTGGGAAAAATCGTTTTAAACAAATCCTTTATTTATTATTACAATTTATCTGAGTGTGTCTGAGGTGAATATGGAGTGACTCTAAGTGAATACAAAGCGGCTTAGTCGACCGGACCCAGCATTTTTCGACTTCTTTGAGCTCAGGGAAAGGGGAAAGTGTTTTTGGGGGATGGGAAAACGGCTGGGAGTTTCACGTAAACACACACACACACACACATTACTTTGGCCTGAAGTTTGTCTTCTTTGGCCGCTTTATCTCTGTTTACGCAGCCGCCGCACGTGCCCTCTTCTTGGGCCCCGAACTCCTCCATCGCCCACTTCCTTCCTGCCAAGGGAATAATTCCCATTAGCAAAGTCTAAGCTGCTTACGAAAGGTAATTGCAGCCGTGTGCTTTCTGTACACACTATAAGTTATTCTTTATCCTGTATCGGTTATCCATAATCAGCAGGCACACACAACTCTTTCATTTACGCGAAAATAATTACATGGACGTCATCTAACCAAACAAGTTAGTTTGATTTATTTGTTTGCACTATTAAAAATGAAATATATAAAATTTGTTTGTTGAGTTAAATAAATAAACAATTTTATATTTGTCAAACTATTTCATTATAGAAAAGCTATGATCGTATATTTTATAGTTTAAAAACAGATTTTTTCAAGTAATAATATTTATTGAAGTATAAGAATTTTTTTTAAATTTTAAGAGTCTACTGTTTTATTCAAAACTGAAATATAAGCTAAGAACACGGGGCATTGTGTCCTTATCCACAAAGCAGAAAGGACAAATAATCCGAGATTCACAAGGAGAGTTGAGGAAAGGAAAAGCGGCACAAACATGCCAGCAAGTGACACAGCAAAATGTGGAACAGAGCAAACTTTAGTCGACATAAATGGAACGAGCTGAGCCGAGCTGAGAAACTGAATCTGTTTTAGTAGAACAGCAGCTGAGGCTGTGGGCCTTAAATAGCCCTCGTAATTAGATACATGACACATTAGTCTAGCTCAAGACTGAATAGAGCTTAGCAACAAATTCAGAACAAGTCAGCTTATTGCAAATAGGCTTCGGCTGCCGCATTTTATGAATAACCATAAAACCTAAATACCACTCGTAATGCATTAGGTTGTTTTCACACTCACATCATCAGCACCACTCAATGTTCAACAAAATCACTTTTTTATGTTAATAAGATCCATTGATGAATCTGTCAATTACAAATAATTAATTAAATTTACAATTTCGGTTCATGCAGATATTCATAGGTTTATTCTATTCGCTCAACAAAGCACTTATTTAATGGATCAAGTTTTTGGGTTATATTCCTTACTTTATTATATTATATATTTCTATTAGCCGTTTTAAATATTTCTATAAATTTATTGAGCCTAAATATGTTTTTCGGATTTGAAATATCTGTTTTAACTACTATGCTTACATTTTTATGGGAGTGCTATAATTTTTATAATCATGCAAAGTCCTTTTAAATTTTGTATCTGTTATAGCAGTATTAAAGATTGATGCTTAAAAATAATTTAGGTATGTTATTTTAAACTTTGTGGTAAAAACAAAGATTGCAACTGAACTGTAAACTGAGAAGTCTTTAATGTGGGCTTAAAGGGGGCCAACTTTATACATTAGTGGCGCGAACATACTTATCCCGACGGCGGAGGCCCCATTCCCTGGGACGTGTTCCCAGCGAAGTGGAGCATCTGCAGCCGGCTACGTGAGGCGAATGCCACGTGGCTGAATGCCCAGCTGATACCCGAAACTAATGCCAAGCTCGGCCCCTCCCCTCTCGATTGCAGTGCACTCCCTGCCCCATCTCACGGTGCTGAGTCTCTCCGGCTGCAGCAAGCTGACGGACGACGGCGTGGAGCTGATTGCCGAGAACCTGCAGAAGCTGCGCGCCCTGGACCTGTCCTGGTGTCCCCGCATCACGGACGCCTCGCTCGAGTATATCGCCTGTGATCTGAACCAGCTGGAGGAGCTGACACTGGATAGGTGAGTTCGACCTCCAACCTCCGCCCTCCGCCCGTTGGGTGCCTTATTATTCATGAGTTAAATTCAATTTCCGTCACCTAGTAGCTGAACCTCATCTCCGGCAATGGCCATTATTCGTCGGCAGTTCAGGGGCAAGAACTGCAGCAAACTTACACTCAAAACAAAATTCTTGAACAAATTATTTTGAATTTAAGAAAACTAAACTTATTTTCTATCATAACTTAAAGTGGGAGTTTTTAAAGGGTTGCTTTATAATTCCTGGAATTTTTAATTTTAATTTATAAAACAAATTTATAAAAAACAAAGCTTATTTTCTCCCATGACTTAATTAAGTGTTGCTAAGTGTTAATTTTAAAGTGTTGCTTTATAATTCCTGGAATTTTAATAAAACATAAAAAGTATTATTTTTTTTGTAACAATTGATTTATAAAGATTGCTCTCAGCTGCTTTCCATAAGCTCAAACTTTTTAAATAGACACAGGATGTTTCTAATATGAGGAATTTTTTTAATATGAGGAATTTACAATATTTAATTATAGATAGACATTTTTAACGGGTTGCTGTAGCTAATTAGTCGAAACAACATGAGTGATCCACGCTGTATGTCTCATAACATTTGTGAGAACATGCAGACCATTAGTTGAATAGCTGACAATACCAATCAAGCTTAGCCATTCCCTTCCCGAATACCACATCTTTATGCCCAACAAGTCTCCATGTTTTCCATAATTCTCATTGATCTGAGGAGAACCAGCGATACACAGTTGATTTTGTCCGATTGTTCCCTGTATATTATATGAACATTCGCCGGGCCCGACGAGTTCAACATCGTGTTCGTATATGCTAATGATTTGGTTAATTTCCTTGGTGGCGAATAAAGTAAAGGGCGAAGAAGATTCTGCCTCTGGCTGGTACCTTTCTTCCGTGAGCACACAGATCGGTTTCAAACCGCCTGCAAAAGAGGAACTCAGTAATGGAAACTGCAATCTTGACCAACAATTAAGTTACCAATCGCCACCGATTGCTCCAGTTTGAGCAATGCTATATCATTTTGGCCGTCGTCTAAGTATTGAGGATGCCTAAAGATCCACTCAACTTTTAAGGGAGTGTATAAAGTTCTGTTTAATGCCATTGGGCCAACAAATCTGCAAAAAAACAATTTAAAAAATATTTGTACTAAAAAAGCTAGCACAACTTACAAGTTATCTGGCAATTCCCTGGCAATTGTTAAAACAAATTCTGGAAATTAAGATTGATTATTGATTAGCAGAAATAGGCATTTAAATTGAGTACTTACTGTCAGTGACAAACACACCGTGTGCCTGGAAAGTACCTCCATAAACGAATGCCAGTAGGTGCGATTCTATGGTATCACCACCGCAATCACTATACAACCATATATCCCGTACCATCTGGATTTGATTCGGTTTGGGAGTCACTGCATCCGCAAGCTTTAGTTTTGGTTCTTCTGGAGAACTCAAAGGAGTTTCCTTGGCATAAAATCTATTTATTGTTTCCTCAATCCAATCCACATAGCTTGTCACGTTGGTGAAAATTATGGGTCCCTCGCAGCTTGATCTTCCATAGCTTGCGATACCAAACTGCACTTCCAGATCGGTGGTTTCATTAAAGGCAATGCTGGTGGTCAGTGGATTGCCAGAATCGTCATCACTCCAGCAGGCGAACGGCATACGACCACAGATCTTGTTATGAGTGTCACCCGAGTGCCTTTGACATTCGATTTCACTGACTTTGTTAACGGTGACAGTGTGCAGTTCATTGAACTCCAAGTCACTTCTCGATGGTCCCCAGCCAAGGGATTTGAACGTCCCAATCATCTCTATGTGATCGTTAATTCTCTTATCCAAAACAATGCAGATGGGGTAAATGTGGTCTGCAATGAGAAGATTTTTAGTAATTTTGTTTAAGTTTAAAACCATATCTCACATACCATCGAAGACCACGCTGCTCGACAGTTTAAGCAGGCCTATATCATTCTGCTGAGTTAACTTGTTGAAAGATCGGTGCATTAGAGCTTGGGTGGCAGTATACTCGGTATATGCCTGCGCTTTTCCGTGTGCTGCCAACCTCACTAATCTTTAATCCATAAAAATATTATTAAGAACAGGAAAGAAAGCTTAACTACAATTATACCAATTAATAACATTTCATAATACTTTAAATTACAGTTTAGTTGTCATGCTACTTTAATTAAAATGAATTTTGGTTTATAATTTTATAAATTTTACGATTGTTGCTATAAAAGTTGAATAGTCGACCGATTTATGTACTCGTAGTGATATGCTATTTTAATTAAAATATATACGCTTTATTTGATTGAAAATATTAAATAAATAACTTTTTAACTAAAAAGAGTTAACACATAATAAAATGCAAATATTAAAGAAAAATAGAAATAGAAAAATTGCACAAGAATAATTGTTTTGCTCATTTTAAAATTAATTTTAAGCCAGATTCTTTTCGTTTTTATTATATTTATTTTTGAGGACACTTACAGCGTGAACTGATTCATTAAACACTGTGCAGTGCCTAAAACAAAGCCTGAAAAAAAAGCAAGTGCAATATTATACATAATATAAATCTTTAAGTCAATAATTATACGAACGTCTGTGAATCAGGGTGCCGGCACATAAATAATCAGAGGCATTTCTGATGACTGCCATCCAAGGAGCACTTTTTTGGAGTCCAGAATAAATGCCATTGGAACCGATTATAGTTCCACAGGGTTCCTCCAGAAACTGGCCAGCCCCCTGGTGGCTTAAAAACAAAATGAACAAAGAAATCCCCGCTAAAGACGACTGCATTTTACGCGGGGCACAAATTAAATGAAACACAAAATTGCGATTTTCGTTCTTGTTTCTTATCAATTTCTTATCAATGTTCGCGAGTCAAGATTTCTGACCCTGTCATATTATATTCCTAAGAAAATATTATCATTGTCTTTAACTTACTATATATAAATTATGTTATTTTTAAATTCTAAAAATCAAGAAATCATTGTTCTTAAACCAGATTAGAACCAAAAATTATATAAAAAAAAAACAAAATAAAATACTTTTATAATTAAAAAAAAATATAAATACATATATGTGTTTTTATATAAGCATATATTAAGAAAGGTTATCTTGAATAAATAAATACTTTTAAAGGTGGCCCCTATTTTGTGATACTTTTTAGGACCATTAAAACAAAATCGTTTTTCTTTAATAATAATAATTTAATTATAATATTAAATATTTTTGCCTCTTCCTTGGTGTTCTTCGATTTAAATGGAGCTTTTTCTGTGCCTTTTTAGATGCGTGCACATAACGGACATTGGCGTGGGCTACATCTCCACGATGCTGTCGCTGACCGCCCTCTTCCTGCGCTGGTGCTCCCAGGTGAGGGACTTCGGGCTGCAGCACCTGTGCTCCATGCGGAACCTGCAGGTGCTGTCCCTGGCCGGCTGTCCGCTGCTGACCTCCTCGGGCCTGTCCAGCCTGATCCAACTGCGGCACCTGCAGGAGCTGGAGCTGACCAACTGCCCGGGGGCGTCACACGAGCTGTTCGACTACCTGAAGGAGCACCTGCCCCGCTGCCTGATTATCGAATAATCGATCATTGATCATTGATCATCGATCATTGATTGGATTGATGGAAGGACGGACGATCCCGGAGCACTCACTGATTTTGGTTTGGGTATTCGAGTATGCTAATTTGGTACACTTAACCTCCAGTCGGCAAGTTCCTCGCGTGCTATGTGACTTTAACTTTCCGTCAACACTGTACTCTATCCCTTATAGTTTTAGACTTTTTATGATTTCTGCTGTGATTTGATACGGAACTTAGTTAAGTTGATCTGTTTAAGACGATGATGTACCACAAAAGACCCGAAGATGATATTTATTTACATGCAATACAAGATATGTCTAATATACATATACATAAATATATATTTATATTTATATTTATAAATATACATTATTTATATTATTGTAGTTTTTAACGAACCTTTTATTTACTACTCTCGCTGTAACCAAACATACAGTCTACGTGTAAATTACTAAAAAAAAAGAGACAAACTCAAAACAAAATTAAAACAAAACATTGCGCCCAAAAGACGAACAAACAACAAATAGAAATTACAAAAGAAAAAAACGAAATACAAAGTGAATCAAAATATGCAATTAAATTACATTAGTTCAAAGAAGTAAAACAGCAGATGAGGATAATTCGAAAATATTTACGAGTGTAGCGAAAACAGGCCAAAGTTGCCGGCAGCTTTAGATTGAAATTGCAATTGAAATATACAAATCCTAGACTTTTGCAGCCCCTGACCAGTGAAACCTTACTTCGATTGTACCATATGACTACTCTGTAATTAATTTACGGCTACTGAAAGTATTTTAAGCAAGGAATCGGCGACAGAAAGTGCACGCTACCAAAACGAAGTCAATATTTAACACAATGTTTAGCAAATTGTTGTCAAGTTGCGAATTGCAATTGCGAAATCATAGACACAAACAATCGACTTCTGGCCGTCAAAGATACTCTATATATCTAGCTTACGTTATAGAGCTGCTCTTCTCATTAAGTAAAACCCTCACTCAAACCTAATGTAAATGCTTTGTTTTTAAATCCAATGTGAGAGAGTTTCATCGGGAACATTAAGCAAACGGAGTTTGGAAACGGCAGTCTTAAACCAAGAACAACACAACTCTACAAGTACATGATAAAATAAATAAATGGTAAAATTAATAAGAATGCGTTTCAATTATATCATAGATTTAAGGTTAATTGGGTTGATTGAATGGGTTGATTGGATTTCAGGCAGTCTATATTGTGATGGTTTAAATTATATTCTTTTAATTTAAAAGTCCAACATTTAAACTCCTATTTAAATCGCCTCTTAACAATAGTAATGGGTCACTTATCATAGAGTTGAGTTAACGTTAGGGTCATTCCTCGCAGGCGCCCTCGCCATCCTCGTCGTTGTCGTACTCGTCGCCTTCCTCATCGTCTTGCTCTTCGTCCTTGCCCTGCTGATCCCACCAGGAGAGCACGCCCAGGCCGGATTCATTAATGGCACCCTAAATAGGGGCACACAATATATAAACAAAACCTTTAAACAAACATACAATGGCTTACAATAATCCTGTAAGGAGTCTTGACCTCCTGGGAAGCGGCTGAAGCGGCGGCCGAGGATGTGCTGGGTCCCTGCTGTGACTGAACCTCCGCCTTAGGCGGTCCAATGGGTGACGTCTCCTCGAAAATCTCGCGCGACACCCGGAACTTGATGGGCTCGCCCACGTCCATGAAGAGATCGTGCTTGGCGCCATCCTCGAGTGGATATTCCCAGACCCAGGCCTGCTCGGCCTCATCGAATCGCGAGGGATGCTGCAGGGCGGCATGTGGGATGAGGATGTCGTCGAAGAAGCCCAGCGTCACGTGGACGCCTTCCCGGCTGCAGTTCCGTATCTTGCCAGTGATCACCGTGCCCACCATTGGCCGGAAAACCACGTATCGGAAGAGCACCTCCGTGTGCGAGGCTCCGTCGCCTGGCAAGATGATCGAGTCCTTCAGCGAGACGATATCCTTGAGCGCAATGCATAGTCCAACGTTTAGCAGAACCTGCAACATAAGAATTCGGAAACAAGGACCTCAAATGAGACTTAAATTTAGCTCACCTTATTGGCCAACTTCCGGTCGATCTCGTCGCGCACGGCGTCCACCAACTTAAGGTGAAACTGGTCCGGCGCAATTCGCACATTGTCCTTCAGCTCGGACAACACGAACATGTCGCCAAATTGTTAAAATATAGAACTCAAAACTAATGGTCGTTCATTGTTTTGAATGCGAATTACCATGTGTAGTTGCAGGTGTGACCACATACACATAGGCAAATAAAACCAAAAAATACCAAACAACAAATATACGAAAACCTTTCGAATTGATGGTTATTCTATTCCATATGTGTTCATTCCTAATTATTTAATATATTTAACTACGTTTACATTAAAACAAAACAAACTATTTACAAATGATATTTGTATGATTTGCAAAAGTTGTTCACAAATATTTGGTCAGCGCTTTGGTACTACAGTGAATGCCCTTATTGTTTTTTTGTCACGAAAAATACCGTACATATGTTGTTTGCTGATAACCATCCCTAGAAATAACCAAAACAATGTCAACGCTTCACTGCGAATGGCATTCGCAACACGTGCGGTTGGACAAATTTGTGAAATTAGCGGACTCTGATAAACTTTTGCATTGTTTTTTAAGTTTTTGCACTATAAATACGTCAGAGAACTTAATAATAACTAGTTAATCCTGCATGTCCACAATGAGCAACGATCAGCACAAATACAGCGACGCCGAGGAGGAAGAAGAAGACCTGAAGAACGTAAGCAAAATAGTTATTATCTGTTAATGAAATACTTTAATACTTCCTATTTTGATAGTCTGAATGGGTGAAAGACTTCAAGGCCCTCACAGTGAAGCACGAGATCTTCAAGGACATAAAGCTGACGCCCAAGGATGCCAGCGATGACCTGGCCCAGGTGATAGAACCCACCAACGAGGAGGATGAACCGGAAGACGAGGACGCAGAGGAGTACGACGAGGAGGAGGACTACGACGACGTGGGCGATGACTACGATACCTACGAGGAGGCCTACACGGGCTTCAACAAGCTGCACGCCCAGCCGCAGCTCACAAGCGCTGGCGGAGGTGCCTCCGGCGGAGGATCCGGTGGCCCACAGCGCGTCAGCAGCTACCAGCCCAACGACAAGCTGCTGCGCCGCTACTCCGCCCGCATCAACGTGGAGAAGTACGATCCCACCACGAACATGAGCGCCCAGGCGGCCAACCGGCTGGTGAACTTCGACCGCCGGGAGCGGACGCAGGTGCGCGACAAACACGACCGGGCCACCGCCGAACAGGTGATGGATCCGCGCACCCGGATGATACTCTTCAAGCTGCTGAATCGCGGCCTTATCCAGGAGATCAACGGCTGCATCTCGACGGGCAAGGAGGCGAATGTCTACCATGCCGTGTCGAAGAACGGTGACGAGGAGTTCGCCATCAAGATCTACAAGACGTCCATTCTGGTGTTCAAGGACCGCGATAAGTACGTGTCCGGCGAGTTCCGCTTCCGGCACGGCTACTGCAAGCACAATCCTCGCAAAATGGTGCGCACCTGGGCGGAGAAGGAGATGCGCAACTATCTGCGGATGCGCAACGCCGGCGTTCCAGTGCCGGAGCCGATCCTGCTGCGGTCGCATGTCCTGGTCATGCGGTTCTGCGGTCGCGACGGCTGGCCGGCTCCGAAACTCAAGGATGTCGAGCTGAGCACTTCAAAGGCTCGCGAGTTGTACAGGGATTGCGTTGTGATCATGTGGCGCATCTACAATCAGTGCCGCCTGGTGCACGCCGACCTTTCGGAGTTCAACATCCTGCTGCAGGACGGTCAGCTGGTGATCATCGATGTCAGCCAGTCGGTGGAGCACGATCATCCGCATTCGTTCGACTTCCTGCGCAAGGATTGCACCAACATATCGGAGTTCTTCCGCAAACGGGCGGTGGCCACGATGACCGTGAAGGAGCTGTTCGACTTCATCACCGACCAGACCATCACCGTCGAGAACATGGAGGAGTGCCTGGAGCGCATCTCGGAGCGGATCAAGGATCGCGACTTTGATGCCATCTCGGCTCAGGAGAAGATCGATGAGGCCGTGTGGCAGAACACTTACATCCCAAAGCGCCTGGATGAGGTACGTTTTTCAAATGAGTTCTTAACTTAAATTCGAATTACCAACCGGAATGCCCTTTACAGGTTCGCCATTTCGAGCGGGATGTGGCCAAGGCCAAGCAGGGTGTGCAGCAAAATCTCATCTACGGCAAGATCACCGGCCTGACATCCGATCTGGATGTGCAGCAGCAGCCTGACGTCCTGGAATCCTCCACCGGCAACCAGGAGGAAGGTAGCGAAGCCCAAACGGGCGACAGCGAGGACGAGGGATCGCAGGATAACGACAATGACGATGACGCTAGTCGGTTCAAGAACTCCGCCAGACCACGGGAGGAGTCTCCGGAGAGTAAAAAGGCTCGCAAAAAGGCCGTAAAAGAGGCCAAGGCCGAGCAGCGCAAGGTCAAAGTGAAAAAGCACGTAAAAAAGCGCAAGGAGAAAATGGGCAGCATGAAAAAATAGAAATCGAGTTTATATAAAAGTGAGTTTAAGTTCTTATCATTTGATTTTCAACTTTGCTGCATCGTTAGAAGAGGTGTGAAAATTTTAAACGATTTAAATGGGCATATAAATATTAACTAAGCCTTTTAAATTTAATAAAAACCGAAATTTCTTGAAAGATTCCAAAAATAACGCGATGCACCATAAGTCAATATAATTTCCTAATTGTAAATATTATAATAACTGGCCGTGTAGTTAGCATAGCTAAGAAAAAAATTAAAAAAATATTTAAATAAGGGTTTTATATTTTTTTGTGATTTTTAAAAATGTTAAATCCTCTCCTTTTATAAGCTTTCCTATGGTTTTTTTTCTCTTATGAGAGAGAATTACCTACTGAGAACCAAAATACCTTGTGGAAAAGCGTGACATTGTCCATTAATCCAGAAGCCATTCTAGAATTAAATCTGCCATGGAGCAATGCATAAGGTTCTGCTATTTCCGATCGCAATGTGGCTGCGGCTACTCGTCTTATATTGGAGTTTGGCATGGGGAGAAGTCGCTGGCGCCGTTGTGGAGCCGGTGCGCTACAATCTGACGATCCTTACGCATCTAGCAGGTGGGGGTGCTCGGCACAGATACGAGGGCATCGTATCCATCGATTTGGCAGTGAAAAAAGCCACCCGAAAATTCCACTTAAGCGCATTCGACATGAAGTTGTTCCTGCACAAAACTTGGTTGGTGCGATGGGCCAGTGGCAAGCGGATCAATGTGATCGCGATGAAGAGAAAAGCAATAAGTAATAGTGAAGTATTGCTAAAAGTGAAGGACAATCTCAATGCCGGCGAGACATACACACTGCACATGTTTTTCGCCGGCGAACTAAAGAGTTCGCAGCGCAACGGTTACTTTTCCGGTCACTATGACCGAACGCCACAGGTGTTCTACGCCTTGACGCGCTTGGAGCCGGATTACGCCCACACCGTGTTTCCCTGCTTCGATCTTGCCGAGTTCAGGACCCCCTTTAACGTAACCCTTGTGCACCACGAGAAATTCGTTGCGCTCAGCAATATGCCCGCCATCAGGGAGACACCACAGTAAGTACACAAAATGGGGCACTTTATCATAAACTTGAATTCCTGTTGTCCCATTGCAGCTCTGAGATGGCGGACTTTGTGTGGACCACGTTCATGCAGTCACCGCCGATGGCCACCTACCAGGTGATGTGGGCACTGCACCAGCTGGAAAAAGTGGCCACTGGCCACACGGCCTCGGGGGAAAAGGTCAACGTCTGGGCGAGACCGCAAATGAAGGAGAAGCTTGCCCAGGTGGCAAACATGACGCCGAGTCTGCTCAGCAGCTTTGAGTCCCTGTTCGGCTATCCATTGCGAAGGGATCCGGATTGGGGTGGCAAGTTGGATCATTTGGTACTGCCGGACTATACGGAAGTGGACAGCGGCAAGGGTCTGCTCGTTTACGGAGAGGATGAGGTGGTGGACTCACGCCTACAGGATATGCTGGCAGAGCAGTTGGCGCGCCAGTGGCTTGGAGTTATGGTGGCCACCTCCGACCTGGATAGATCATATGTACGCGACGGCATCAACTACTATTTGGCAATTCAGTTGGCTGCGATGCGGAACAACACGGGGCATAATATGACCCGCCTACTGGAAAGCCGTCTAGGGATCATGTTCTACGACTCGCTGCCCGAAACGAAGGCCCTTTCGAAGTCACAGTCACCCAGCAACAAGATGTTTCGCAAACACAAGATTGTTCTGATCACGCACATGCTTAAAACGGCTTTCGGCGACAAGATTTTCTTCGGAGGATTGCGAGGGTTCTTCGAGTCGTATGCCAACACTTCAGCTTCAGTCGACCAGCTGCTGGAGGAGTGGCAGCGAGCAGCCCGCCGACGCTACCAGCTGCCCGTTGCAGTGGTTCTGAGCACACTAATGGACACGTGGCTCACGCAACCAGGATACCCAATGCTCACCGTCCGGCGCGACGACCTCAACGACAAGGTGACCATCACGCAGAACCGCTATCAACAGAACGATATGGATGTGAATGCCAAGGAATGCTGGTGGCTGCCGGTCATGTACATCACCGCGTCCCAAAAACTGGCCCAGGTGGAGTGGATGGGTTGCCAAAACAAGAAGAAAGATGAACTAACGCTCACCAAAGTCGTTAATGCAAGTGAATGGCTGCTGCTGAATGTCGATGCTGCAGTGCCTGTTCGAGTTCTCTACGATCTTCAAGGCTGGCGACTGATTGCCGACGCACTGTCCACCCAGTTCACCCAGATTCCGGAGCTCAGCCGTGTCCAGCTGGTGGATGATGCCCTCGGAATGGCGTGGGTGGGTCAAATGCACTATAACATCACCGTAAATGTGATCAAGTATCTGGCAAATGAGACCAGCGTTCTGGTTTGGGAGCAGGCACTTATCCATCTGGAGAAGCTGCAGAGCGTCATGCAAATGAGTACGGGTTATAGGGTCTTTAAGGTGGGTATCAGTAAATCAAGTTAAATTAACATGTAACATAAAATCAATTTCATATTTCCAGCTTTTCATGCACAAACTCATTGAGCCAACTTTTAATGTAACATTGCAATTGCTTAAAACTAATCCAAAATCCAAAGAGAGTCAAGAAAAGAAGGCATGGGGTAAATCCTTGCCGGCGATAATGTACCGCCTGGCCTGCCAGTACGAAGTCAAAGAATGTTTGGCGGACGCTCAAGAGAAATTCAAGGCGGCAATGGGCCAGAAATCCGTATCATCCATTCCGGAGGGAGTTCAAGAAATGGTGCTCTGCAAAGGCATCCACCATGGCGTCGAGGACGATTGGCTAATGGTGCGGAACATGTTCTTTGAGGCCAAGGAGGATGATGAGGAGAAGGCCATCCTGCTTAACTCGCTGAGCTGCACCACCGAATATTGGGCGATGCAGAAGCTGTTCCGTTGGTCCCTCGACCGCAAAAAGGTTCCAAAAGCGCTGACCCTTGGCCTCTTGGCTGCCCTGATGCGCACCTACCTGGGCTACTACATGGGTCATCAGTTCCTCACCGATAACATAGGGCAAATCCTGAGTCGGTGAGAGGGTCGAAATAGTCAGCAAGGCTCCAAGTATATGACAATCTTGTTTTCAGCTTCTCCACCAACGAGCTTCAGTTCATTCTGAAGCCATTCGTCAATGCAGTGACCACCAAGGAAGAACTTGCAACGCTAAAAAGCTTTTTGCAAACGAAACTGCCCTCTTCGATGACCTCCAGTATAAATTCCATGCTGGATCCTGCAACTAAGACGCTCATATGGCGGAAGTTCCTGTATTTCGATCTCCTAAACGCTATTCGGAATAATGTAAAATAGTTGTATACGAAGTGTTTGAAATTGGCAAAAAGCAACGACTTAATACGCAAGTTATTAGGATATACATTGATATACGACAACGTCTTTATGTATATTCTTGAGAAATGTTTATCGAGGAGAACCGTCTTCTATAGTCTTATCCTATTCGATACTTTCAAATATAATATTCGAAACATAAAAATTGTTTTTGTACAAATTATCCAAAACATAACATTTATTCTTTTACAAATTCGAGTTGAAATCACTTAAATTGTTTTAAATGTACTGGACTCCTATCTGTAAACCATTTTGGAGTTTTCTGATAATTTTGAAAAGTGCAATCTAACAAAAAATCAATAAACTTTAATCTAATTTAATGATGCACTTTTAAGTTAAGCCACAAGTTCTTAAAGACAAAATATTGAATTAAACACAAGTTGTTAGTCCAGTACAATTATTATCACTATTTTTGATGTTTGTAGATTTTGGTCTGCCCAAATCTTCTGTTCATTTGAATCGTGTCCTAACTTAAAACTAACTTATTGTTATGTTAGGGAATGGTGCATATGTATGTACAGGGAGTATCTATCTGTTTGTTTAAAATCGAACATCACAGCATTGACATTTGCTTACAACTAGGGCGTAAGATTCATCTGGAGTGTTGGCTGCAAAATCAGGCATAGCACCGCTTGCGCAGGCTAATGTACATCATCACGCGGAAGAAGAGCATCAGCATGGCCAGTATGCCAAACTGGTGCAGAATCGAAACTTTTTCCACGTCTAAGAATTTCAGCAGCACGCGAGGATCGCTAAAATGGCAGTATATCTCATCGCAGTCGAGCTCCTCTCGGTGGAATCCAAAGACGGCCAGGATCAGGGAAACCACGCCCACCCGCACGTAGCTGAACTTCATCAGCAGCTGCATTCCGCCCGAAATCTGCGGCGCAAAGTCGAATCCGTAGACCGCCAGTCCCATTAAAGGTGCTATCATCATCGGACCCACCACACTGCCATTCTACAACGGGAGGAGAAGGGAGAGTGTCAGGAACGTTAGATTTTGACCAAAAGTATGCCCCAGAGACACGTTTAATATTTCTTGAATTTATAAAATTTCCTCCAGGCTTACAAGTGTAAAAGTTTTATAAAAAGACTTAATTCTTGTGAAGCTTTTGAAAACTAAGTTTCATAATCTTAAGAAATTTTTTAAGCTTCAGTAAACTGGTAAAAAAAAACTAAGTAAATCAAATATCTTCTTCTCCGTTTAAATATTTTTCGCTTTCTTTAAATTAACAAATGTCACTTTTGATTATTTTTGAATTTGTTTTTAATATCTGAGAACCAATACCATTTTCCTCAAACTATAATGTTTTAAATATATCGCAATATATCGTATAAATCGTACATTCTTTTGATGAATTTGTTTTTAAAAAATTTTAATAAATGCTTTTAAATAATTGTTTTTTTTTTTCATATTAAACGATTCAGAAACTATAGGATACCTGAATTTCTGCGTTAATAATAACTATACCCTTTGTAGGAAAAACAAGGGTGTAAAAAACCTAACTATTTAAGTCTACATGTATATACGTTTAGTTTTTCATATATAGTTGCTTTTTTGCTGACATAATTATATGATGCTGGAAAAAGATCTTACAATGAGTTAAGGTTAAAATAGGACTTTAAACTCACCGTTATGCTGAAGGTGGCGCCTATAGCTAGACCCATTCCTTCGGCCACCAGGGAAATCATCAGTCCGACGGCCACGAAAATGCAAAAGCGCCAGAATTGTTGGGGCAGACCGGACATCCAGTAGGTGACTGCCATGAAGGTGATGTTGAGAAGCACCTGAGTTGGCAGACGCGATACCGTCAAGGCCAAATAGTACGGGGGCAGACTATACCAGCGGTTGAAGGTCTCCTTCTTGACCACCTTCACCTCAGCGGGATCTGCAGGTTAAAAAGTAGTTAAGTTATATTTTATATTTATTACCGCAGAGGTAACTTAACATATACTTACAGCTCAAAATGGGCACCATCACCTGGGTGTAGACAATCATGAGGACGGCGCCGATGCAGAATTTGAGATGGTCGAACATGCGGGCACCTTGGTTGCCCAGTTGGAAGAATATCAGGCCGAAGAACACACCGCACAGCAGGTGGTGGAACAGTTGAATGGTCAGTGCCAAACGTGCCCTCGTAATCCGCAGCAGCATCACCCGCATGAGGACCACGAACTGTCGCATTCCTGATACCTCCCGCCGATCCGTATGGAGTCGTCTGGAGAAGGCCTTCACTTGCTCTAGAAGAGCACTAGTGCCTCCAATCAGAGACCCATCCGTTGAGGCTGCACTCCCGGCGAAAAAGGCTGGCAGAAACGGACGCTTCTGCTGCTCCACAAACATCGTGGTCACCGCCTGTTGGGATGCCAGCGAGGCACCCAACTGGTCCGACTGACTGGCCACATAGATCAGCTTGCCATTTTCAGTCAGCTCACTGAGTCCCGACACCAAATGGCCATCCTCCGCATCCACCAGCTCAATAACTGCAAATTTAAATTAAGAATTATATATATTCGTTTATTAAATATGAAAAATATACATAGAATTACCAAAGGGATAAAGTTATAATAGCTTAATCAATAATTCAATTCAATTTTTAACAGTCTTTAAGTTTAAGTATATTGTTAATAAAATGGATGAGTAAAAAAAATATATATTCTGACTATTCAAAATGTTGAATTGAATATTTAAAATAAATATTTAGTCATAATATTTACGACAAAGCATATTAAATTGCATGATTTAATATTAAAATACTTTAACTAATATGAAAATTGTTAGATTTAAAATGGTTACATTTAAATTATATTTTGTTTAAGTTAAATTATATTTTCAGATATTTTAATCCATTCCGAAAATATTCTAATGAAACACTTTAAAAAACGATAATATTTTCGTATTTAAAAAACTATAAAATATTTAAACTAAGTAAATAGTTGGGCTTACTACGTTTTTTTTACCAGTGTACTCTATTCGAAATCAAAATTTGGGAAAACATATCCACAGTGTTTAGTTAAGGCTAAGATCGATCTAAACATTTTCTTTTCCATTTTAAAGCCCTAACTTATTGAACCTATATATTTGTAAGACAAGACTTTTTAATATATATTCTTATGTTTAATAAATATATTAAAGCCAGAACTCACTGTAATCCGAGGGACTGTAATGTATGGGGCAGTCGAGCTGGGCCAGTTGCAGGAAGGGAATGGTGGCCCGGGGACTGCCCTGGTAGACGCAGTGGCCCTTGGCCAGGACGTAGATGCTGTCAAAGTAGTTGTAGATGGTCGCCGAGGGCTGGTGGATGGTGCAGACGATGGTGCGGCCCTCGTGGGCCATCGCCTGCAGCAGTCGGATGCACTGGGCCGCCGTCACCTCGTCCAGGCCGCTGGTTGGCTCGTCCAGGAAGAAGATGTTCGGATTGTCCACCAGCTCCAAGGCGATGGACAATCGCTTCCGTTCCCCGCCGCTCAGCTTCTCAGCCGTCACATTGCGCCGGTGATTGAGATGCAGATTCTCGAGGATGTCTGTCATGATCTCCGCCTTTTTGTGACGATGCTTCAGCTTCAAGTCACAGGCGAGGTTCATCAACTCCTCCACAGTCAGCAAAGTCTGATGGTGATCGTCCTGAGTGATATAGCAGGCATTGTCCCGCTTTATCTTTATGCTCCCCGTGACTCCGTCGCGTCTGAAATGTATATGAAAACATGATTTAATAAAATTGTCTACATTTCACAACTAAAATTATGACCTACATTTACATATGCTAACTATTCAATAGACATTAATTTCTTAAATATATTTTTTAAATATTATGAAAAAAACCAAATTATTTGTACATTTTAAGTAAAAATACATTTTTTTTTTGGTTATTTGAATTGCCTATTTTAATAAAATATAGTTTGGAAACTCAAACTGTTATTCATAAATTTTAATCTCTATAATTTGACAGATGTTTGTGTCAAAACAATTTCTAAGATTGTATCTTTATTTAGTTCTTTATCTTATTGTTCCCTTTGGGTTCCGAATAATATTTTCGCCGCAGAACAAAACAAAAACATTTTAAACCCAACCTAGACAACCATATCAACGAAATTCTGTTCTACAACGTAGAACTTTGTGACTTTACAAAAATATAGAACTCTAATAAAGTCCGAAAATTTCCACAACATTTTGCGGAATCGTCATTTTCAAGCAAATCTACGACATTTATTTGAAGGCGAAGGTTGTTTTGGTCCAGAATGGCATCAGATTACTGGAAATGTTTGTTTGCCTTTCCTCACCCCCCCAGAACCCTTCAGAACCCAGTTGACATTTCGCTTTTGAGTCGGAATCAAGTCAGCAAGAATTTGGCTTTAATCACCAGTCTGTTTAGCATAGAACCGGTTCGGTTTCGGCTTCCCAAATGATATGGCCTTTGTTTTGTTACACTTGAGCCCGGATGACGTTCTGAACATACCGTCGAGTGCAGTCGCGTCGAGTTGAGGTCGAGTCTGGTTTGGTTTATTGTGCTCACCTGAAACCCGAAATCGCATTAAGCAAACTGCTTTTTCCGGCTCCCGAGGGTCCCATGATCGCCGATAGCTGTCCATTCCGGAAACTGCCACTGACTCCGTTCAGAATTTGACGCTCTCCGGTGACGCGCCCTAAAAATAGATTATATGCAAATAAATATTCAATATAAATTATACAATCGACTGTTTAATAAGTAAATTCGTAATTGATTAATACAATAACAAATTCGATTCAAATCTATTCAAATAACTATTTAAAACTTAAAACTAGAATATGCTTAGCAACTTTCAATATAATCAATAGAACGAGTGAATCATAGAAAACAAAACCATTTGGTTTTAATATATTCTATTTATTACGTATAAACATTTATTTTTCTGGTTTATCTGGACGGATTTACCGAAAACGTAGAAGATAGATAACATAATAATAAGGGTTGGGAATGAAATAGATTAAGAAAATCAAGTTACATTTTTTTAATGATCCCATATTGTCAATGGGAAAAACAATTCACTTTCATTGTTTAGAATATGCAAAGTAAGATCACAGTCTCATATTTTGATAATTATAGTGTCACCGACTGACAGCGGAAAGATTCCCTAGATGACGGATAATGGGGCTTGAAAATATTG